CAATTACTTGTCCTGTGTCACAACATTCCCAAATTCAGTTTCACTGAGTAACTGAAGACATGTGCGACCTATTCTGATATCCTCACACAAACCCACCAAATATGTACTGTTTTTCTGACAGAACATTGTTGTTGTAGAGCATCTGTATTTGAATTTTTAGACCTGCTAGCAAACTTCTTTGTCTTGCAAATAAACATTCACATCGGTTCAGAGTTTATTTACACTAATTTGTCATCTCAAAGATCGATACATGTGTGCAAAGTTCACTCATACGGGCCTGCATCTACATGGCCAAAGCTTGGACTCTCTTGAAATCATGTCAAGCAGTGATTAGTCAGTTAGTAGTCTGATTTAAAGGGGTTAGAGTCCACTTTGGTGGATTAGCAAATATTTGTTGCAAGGCTATCAGAGGCAGCTGGGCTTTACTTTGACCATTAACTCTAACAAATCTGATGTTAGTCAGGAACATTCACTGGTTGCTAGTGACTGCCTCTTTACACTTAACTACAGTTAATGGAGTGCTCTGATGCAAAGGGTGTGGTAAGATAGGAGTGGGAACTGACACCAAACCCCATGTGGGGAGGGGCCCTAGGGTCATTCAATATTCCACTACCCACCCAATCCATACATGTAGTTCTGGTTCATGCATCACATACAGTACGTACAGTATGTAGATGCAGGCCTACATTTACATGTATGTATGTGCAACAAAATGAGAAAAGCTGAACATGACACGAACAATTCAATTGGCCTAAAGAAATGCTACATGTAGGATATGAAACAGATTAATAACAAACTTGTACATGAAGATGTAGACCATTAATATTTACATTTACACACAAGTGCATGCATTTTATTCTGCTTGGTGTAAGCACTGCCCACTATGCAGAAATACACAAGTGTGCTGGCATATGTACATGTGGGACTTGGACGTGAAAGTGCTGTAAAAGAGAGTGCTGTAACAAAAATAGATGAACATACATGTAGTCAATGGGAGAACAGCCACAGATGTGAAAAAAGAGAGCTAAATGTATATCGAGAAGAACATCATATCAGGGAGTGCTGTAATGGGAATTTGTACATGCAGTTGCGGTACGGCACTCAACGTGGCCGTCACCATGCATAATGTACAATATTGAATGAAACATTTATTTTAATGCTGTCATTCTTTACAATAAGCAAACATGATTCACATTACTTAAGTACTGAGAATATGGCCATTAACTTGAGCAACATTACACAATGTATCATTTTACATAAATTAGATGACAACATTTAGGTTTAAGGTTAAGCAAGAATCCATTTGTACCCCAACCTATGGAGAGACAAAGAAAACTAAGCAATCTAACATTGAATGAGCAATATTGAATGAGCAAATATCATTTTTTTTTTAATTGAAATTGGGGGTTGGTGGGTTGAAACAATTTACATGTAAATTTAAAAACATCGAAAATTTTGAATGGCCCCGTAGTAGTAACCATAACCAAGTAATTAATGGGGTAACATGTACATACATGTACGTGTGTACATGTAACCCATCTCTTCTACAGTGCCTTAATTTAAGTTTTACCGGTATATGAGTAGGGGAACAGATCTCTTCAGCCACAGAGCAGTTTGCATTGTCGTTGATGCCCATTTGTTAGGCTTTGAGAGGCAAAATGACAAATTTGATTATTAGGAAGGAGAGGCCATTGAGTGATCCTGTCAGTAATGTCAAATTACAGGTCCTGAACTTGAAGTACAGGATGAGTAGGGGATTTAATAAAATGACGAAGACTGAGAAGACTAAGAGAATTACATTTACAGTAAGCATGGTGCTGTTGTCCAAATAAATCGGTACTACATGTAGATGCTGTCATCTCATGTCATTATTTCACAACATGGATTCTTCGAGTTATCAGTACTGATGATCTGATGTCTTAAAATTGCCAATTCAATAAAAAATTTACGAGTTAATAACACATTTGAACGAGATGGAATTTTTAAAATTAATTTTTTCAAATGCTGTGCATGCACAAATGACTCTTTGGGGTTTTTGCCAGTATTGGAAAATGGACTAAGAGGCGTGAGTGTCAACACTGTCTTCAAGTGAAAAACAGGGCTTTCTGTTTCTTGTCTTAGTATGTGTTTAACCTTGCAGACAAACTCTGCTAAACTTTTCCACTGGCTTATTCAGTGATGCATTCTTATGTGTTGTACATACCGATATGGTACAAAATGTATGTGTGGCATAAACTGTAAGTTACATACCAGTACATGCACACAGTGAGAAATATTAACTAATATTGTCAAATGAGTACACACTTGTAGCATTTGAATGTGCATGTAAATTGTAAGTTGGCAGGTACATACCGGTATGTACATGTATATGTTTACCTTCTAATATTCAAAAAAGGACATTTTTGTTCAAATCAATACTACCCATAAATGGTTACGTTAAAGTTCTTGGGCCACTGCCACTCAAGGATTAAAATTTCAGTCCAAAACAGTAACTCCTTTTGTTTCCTCTTTAAATTTATTAACAAGTAGGCCCCCCTTCATGCTTTTATCATTAACATTATTCCCATTAAACCCCTAACCTTTCAAATCTCTCACAGATATTGAAATTTCTTAACAATAAGAAGTATGTGTACATTGTACATGTAGTGTGAGCTTCTTTTGTAAGGCATAGGCCTAAATGTATATGTATGTCACCTCCAGTGATCTCCAGTAAATGAAGTAGAGAGTAGACACAAATCCTAATCATTAAAACAAACCAATAACTCTCAATAAATACAGTTTAGACAGTCTAGTCATTAGCTTTGAACAGCTGTGATATCACTTCACACCTATAGTTGACTTGACACCTTGACTTTACAAGCTATCATCAAGGTATCAAAGATTGGTAAATCGTAGCAGGTGCAGAGGTTCAAGTCAGGTTAGGCTACCTGCTGCTTTCCCTGTTTGCAACCATCTAAGTAACCGTACTGATAGTAACAGACTGGCTGCATGTACTGTTCTACGGTACATTCTTATTCTGAAATGAACAAAATTTATCTGACATTGAAGTCTGTCTTCACTGAAGTTGGAAAGAATGAAGGCTACAATGTACAATGTATATTGTACACTGTACCAGTACATCACAAAACTTGATGTAAAGTATTAACTACATTGACGGGAACTACATGTAAACTGTACAATGTACACATGTAGTCACAGGCCTACTGGGGTACATGTACACGTACAGTATATGTACATTTCACTCAAGCACGATTCAACACAAACACACAATTATTCATACAAGACCTTTAAAAATCCTGAGTACAAAGAGCACATGTCATTCCACAATCAGCAGGGAACAGACTGCATAACTTAAGCTGTCATTCCTTTTAGGAAATGGTGTTGGATTATTTGCATTTTTTCAGAAGGTTGCAAAAATTACCGGTATCAATTTTTCCCCAATTACATGTGTACATGTACATGTACATGTATGTGCCTGTGTACACATTTAAAAGTACAAAGTAGCAATTTCCCTGACAAGTACCAGCAATTGTCAGGTATGAGTAATAATACTTCAAATAAGTTTTCATAAACACTTTTTCAGATTTGCTAAACGTAATATAATTCATTTCCATGTTTCACAGAGGAGTCATTTATTAAAAAAAAAAATGTTCTGGGGAAAAGATGCCAGAAGCTCTCAAACAGACGTGTGTACATATACACCATCTTCAGTAGGTCTCCTTGTTAAATGTTAAACTGTCATTCAACTTTTATCCAAATCTGTGAATGGGTGTGTTTTACTGTTTAGGTAATGGTGTAATAAAATGGTAACAAAAGACAAAATTGTGGATGACTTGCTAGAAAACATTGGCCTTGCTGAATTCAACAACATAAAAACGTGGGATGTACTGTTGGATTTTCAAAATTTGAATAATGAACAAATAAGCTGTTGCTCCTGCTGAATTCAACTGGTGTAAGTAGTTTTCTCAGGGTATTGTTTGGCTCTGTTTGTTGGTTCCAAGTATGGCATCATTTCATATTTTCTTAACTTCTTAGTCCAAATGATTCTTATTCAAGCTGAAACACTGGCTGTGCAGTGTGCACATCATTTATCAAAGACAAGTAATTACTGGATCATGAGATCTGCATGTGAGACAAAACTGCAGGTGAATTGGCCCAGTTTGTGAACAATGAGTGTAGACTTAACGCTTCAGGCTGGTAATGTGTCGACAAATTACCTTTCTGTTTGCTTTAAAAATTTGACCATTCATACATGTACATTGAACTTTAAAGGATATTCTGCAATGTACATGTTGGTATCGGTACATGAATGTACCCATCAGTTCCTGTCTTGATAAAGCATCCTATCCAATGTATGCTGAGGGGAAATCTAACCATTCACAAAAAGAGCAAAATGTTCACCCTTGAGGAAATGGCAGCAGAATATGTATGTCTACTAAATATATATGTCTTGGCATGTGCTTGCCATTAAAATTTCCTTCTGAAGGGATGAATAAAACTGGACTCCACTGAGACTCTACCGTACATGCAATACACAACAGCAAACCCAATTTTCTGACAGACAAAAGCACACGTATTCAAACAATGACTAATGTACAATGTATTTCAAATCACAGGTACAGTACAGCACTTCAGGAAATTATTGTATTGAATAATTCGAAGAGACACCATACCTAACTGCAACGGTGCTGTACTACATGCTATATGTGCATATACGTGTACAGTCTTGAACTTGATGAGTGCATGCATTTAGCAAATCATGACAACCTACTGGCTGAAGTGGTATGTAACACACAAATCACCTGTCGTTGTGCCACTGCAGTAATGGCTTCTGAGACTGGTTGCCAAATTACACCATTTAACAACACCAATAATTTAAACAAAGTCCCTAATTAATAATTGGTAAATAATGGTGTCTTTCTAAAATACTGTACACTTACATTTAGGAAAAGCTACCGGGGTTAACCTACATGTACATGTATACTACAACCTACACGTACCTTGTTTGACTGTTTTCAGGTGCAAAGGTGCACGGCCAATATGTGCCAGAAGAGCCTCGATGTCCCACAATGTAAACCCAGGTAGTTTGTGCCCATTCAACTCAATCAATAAATCATCTGTATGCAGTTTGCCCGAACGTACCAGAATCCTGTCGCTGCGGACATCTGCAATGTAGGGGAACAGCCCATTCTCAGCTCCGCCTCTAACAGTGAAATTGGGACTGCCATCATCCGTTGGAGAAACTACAATCTCATGGATATATTGGCTCCAGTGTTTAGGTGGCTTGGTCCCCTTTTTGTTGTCTTTGGTCATGGTGATAAGCAGCGATGTTAAACAATAAGCCTACAATATGAACTCCAAGAAGTGCACTTGAGGTAATGCACAGGTATCCTTGTCACTTCATTCATGAGATGACAGTGAATCACTACCTTGCAATGGTCCACTTCCTACAGACAAAAACAAAACAAAGCCACAAAGAATAATGTTATACTGTATCTATTTGTACAACAAATTTCCATGTGGACCACCACCAGATACCATTCTCAGGCGTATAGCCTAAATGTAGATGCCATTATCAGCAACCATGTAACTACTGATATCCACTTGACAATGGCTAAGATCAAACCCTAACCCCCAGGGACGATTGAAATTCTGCATAACCTTGTTGGGTTCACCATATACCGGTACATTGCATTTTGTACTGCATTTTTGGTAACTTTCAGTCAGAAAATTTTAGAAGTGATATTTAGTAAATACTGTAACAGTTCCATGCATCCCAAAGATCCAGACACTGAAGAAACAATACACAATTTTCACAGATTTTTTTTACTGTAGCTACAGTACCGGTTCGAGTAGCAAAATGTCAAAGAACAAATGATAAAAGTCATTCAAAAATAATGTTTTGGTTTATGTCACTCAGAGTGGAATAAAATCAGTCTGGAGGCGTGAACTTGAACTGGATGACTGAACCTAAATCATGTACATGTACGTACACATGATAAATAGCCTAAATATGGTAAAAATTCATTAAAAAATTATTTCAAACACTGTTATCAACCCTCCCCCCAAAATTAAAATAACCAATCTGTTGCTCTGGACGAGCATGGAGGTTGGAAACCATGACAGTACCCCCACTGCAGGGCCCCGGAACTGTGGGGTCTGAAGTCCGCCCCGCTCCCACGAACGTTCGGGGCGGACGTCAGCGCGGGGCGGACGTCGGACATTGTCGGACCCCACCGGGCCATAGTTCTGGGAGTAGGCAACCAGGGGAAGAGCATGTTCAACAGGCTTGGCACAAAAGAATAGCACTATTACCGTGGTTACTATCTGGGCTACCGTAACTTACTTTATTGGATTTTTCCTCCGGTCAAAACTGCGTGTAAATTCCGGACTTTGCCATGTTTGATGCAATAGTACCCGTACACCCCATAAATCTACTGCTGGCATTTAACACGCGTGACATCAGCAACTGACCCACGCAGAAATTACACCATTGTTCCCAGCAGCTGAGCCCCATATTTGCAGCATGACTTTACCGTTACGTTAGTACTTCTTTGAACTTACCTATCTCATTTAAATAATTTCATTTCATTTGTTTCCAATGAGTCATTCGGCGTCAGAGCAGGGTGTTCCTCTTTCAAAAATGTCCGTTTGATGACATTATTTTGGTCATTCAGGGGTAATCGCTGGTTCCAGTGTCACACCAAATGTATTTTCAATGCTGTTGTTGCGAGATTCCGGGTACCATCAGCTTGATTGTAGATAATACTGGTACCCTGCTTTACACACACAATAAAGAAATACATCAGACAGAACACCGTTTCATAGTAGACGTAAAAAAATTGAAATGCACAGAGACTGTGACAAATCTAGATCATCGATCGGGAACTCGCGTACAGCTTGAGCTCAGGTTCTGTAAAGCAAGGCTGTTCGACATTTTTCGTAATCGAAGAATCAACGAATTATTTTTTTTTATGGATTTGTCCTCGCAAGTGAATCTTAATAGAATTCAATTGAAGAAAACAAAAGTCATTACCATAGAGCCATATATGGCTCTGTGGTCAGTACATGCTAACTACAAAAACTGAAACATGGTAATAACTGAATGATTTGGAAATTATTAATTATTTTATTACTACAAGAAACGAAAGCTTTGTAATTACAAAGCAGAGATATTTCGGGAATGGCAAATTATATTTCACTTTAAAAATATTTTTATTGTTTGTAATACCATGCACAAACAAAGGCACACCAGCTTCAACAGCTAGCGAGTCTCTCTGAATTCGACTTAGGGAAAGGGGAAAGCTTCAAAACTTATCTAGTTCCTGCATGGAGGAATATAGACACAGTCTGTGTATTTTATTTCTCCATGGTTCTCGCCTCACTCTCCAGCTTAGCATCAACATGAAATGAAAGATATCAGTGCAAAGTATCTTTTCCCAGTCCCCGAGCCCAGGGCAAGAGTAGAGCCTGCCTGAATTGGGTAGAATATTGGGGTCTACAGACCCCAGGTACCAGAACCTTTACGGACCATTTAATCCGGCTGGTCCTGATTGCCATAGTGTTGTTAAACTTTTCTTTCTTGCATTTTGAGCAAAAAATTGATTATTGATTTATCTCAGTCATTTTACTTCGATCAGTTAGGCAGCGCAGGAAAATAAATTACGGTGGTGCCCATAGGTAAAAAAAACCTTCTGTGGCATGCTAGTTCACATTTCTGCCAACCATGTACTTTGCACTTTCAACCAACGCATTTTATAGAGGGCGATATAACAAATCAAGAGAATACAAATAAATGGTAGAGGGCGCTAGACGTAGCCGCAACGAGCAGGCCGGGCGCCGGCGCGCGCGCTGGCTTTAGTGTATCGGCTGAAAACCGTCGACGTGTCTGTGTACTATACCACTCAAACTGTTGGTTGGCTGTGTAGTACATGATGTATCGATATCTGTTGGTCCTTTTGTGTTTTGTTACATCATCAGCGATTTAAAAAATGGCGTCTTTGAAGGAGATGTGTGAGGGTCTTCCTCTTGATCCTCTGCCCTCTGCCAGAACAAGAGATAACAACATAGCTCACGCTCCTGTGAGAGTGCCCAATCTTACACCGGACGAAGAACGGGTAAGTGTTTCCGAGAAGTGTCCTTTCTCGTGACCTACCGTCTAACGTTAAAATGAACATAGTGACTGAAGGCGTTCAAAACATTCTCTGGTCAGTAACGTTCCTTCGGGTCGTCAGTGTTGGATTTGATTGGTTGTTTAAGGGGGTGTGGTGTAGGCGGGAATGAGTACGCACGCACTTCTACGTGTACAGTTGTATGTCATGTGATTTTATTCCTCCACCTTGACTATTCTGGCGTCATGGATGTCGACGGACGTAACGAACCATGTGGGAGAAACAGGTCCCTGTCTAGACATCACTTTTTTCTCTCTGCACAGCGGTGTGGTAAATCAGCCACCATCATCAGAAAGGGGTAGGCCTAACAATATCACGAAAAGTCAAATTTACCAAGGAAAATATCGAAGCACTTACTCAGAAATGCAATTTTCTCGACCAGTTTCATGTCCAAATGTTAAAAAAGGCAATTTGTAGAGTCCAACTTAGGATATCACGTGACGTCTCATTGTCTGTGTATGGAGCCTGGAGGTATAGAACTCTTTCTGAGTGTAATTCTATACTGTTACTATCTTACAAGGACTGTATGCTCACCCCTCTCTCAGTCTCCTAAAATTCATTCTTGTGCTGAAGAATCTATTCAATCTTCTTCAAAGTTTAAGTTCTTCAGACAAGAAAGTATTCTTATTTTTGCATAGCCTAAACAATACAGTAAATGTCTTAATGTGGGCCCATGGAGTCAAGTTACAATGACATTAAATATCTGCTTTATTTCCATTTGTTTACAGCTTGCATTACAAAATGCACTGCGTTATTTCCCACCTGAACTTCATGATGTCCTGGCACCAGAGTTTGCTGAAGAATTGCGAGAGTTTGGTCACATCTACATGTACCGCTTTCGTCCAAATATTGAAATGAGGTCTGTCATATTGGTTTTGAATTTATTTGCATTAACCCTAACCCCCAAGGGTGTATGTAAAATCGTATGGAAATTGGAGGATTTGGGACTGTTAGGGTTAATGCACTTTGTACTGCATAATTTTGTTTGCTTATATTATTATTGCTCAATTTGTCTTCAGTTTGGGCCTATATTTTCTCCATTCAGTGACTGGACCCACACGTGAAGTAAAATATACAGGTACTGCCACTAATCCAAATTTCCCTGAATTTACTCTGTGGCTATTTACTTGAAAGCAAACTTAGAAAATTGATTTAATAGCATTGCATCTTTTTATACTAGAGCTATGTTCTCCATAAATTGTTGTGGCTTTCCAACTGTATGTTGTATAAATTGATGGTGTTCAAATGATTTCACAGTTCCAATTAGAAATGGTGTAGTACAGGTCAACGACAGGTATAATCATTCTACAAGAAGTAGTGACATTGATTACCATTGCAAATGCTGTTTTATTTGGGATTATTTTCCAGAGCGTATCCCATAAACGATTATCCATGCAACACACGGCAAGCTGCAGGCATCATGCATATGATCATGAACAATTTAGACCCCCGGGTTGCTCAGGTAAAAACAACATTACAAGCAGTGCTCTCCGGGCTATGGTTTAGGGTGGGACAATTACAAGTTTAAATGAAAAAAGTTCCAAATCCATCCACTGATTTTCTCAAACGTTTAAACGGAACTGCCCCTTTGTAATAGAGGTTTGACCTTTTGATGGATGGAATCTACCTTTCCTTTTTATTGTAAACGATGCCTGTAAAATGTAAGCTGATTTTCGGAATTCTGCTCGGTCATATCAAAGAAATACCATGAATTCATCACCAGAACTTTGTGTCAACTATTTACATTGTATATAATTGGTTGTGTTAAAAGTTTCGACATTATGGTCATGGTGTGACATTCTCATATCTAAACGGTATTCAAATTAAAGGGAAAATCCCACCCTTAGTTTTAGTCTGATTTAAAACCAATAGGCATGAGTGAAAGTTATTCAAGATTGTTTTCAAGAATTTTTATGTCGTGTTTTTCATGTTACATGACAGTTTCCTCATGAGCTTGTTACCTATGGAGGAAATGGGCAGGTATTCTCCAACTGGGCACAGGTGAGTAAACCTTGTGAGAATAGGTATTTCATTTACATAAGTCATTTTATTTATTGTCCTTTTTTTAAGCTGTGCCTCCTTTATCCCGATTAGAGCCCAAATCTTCACAAAAACAAAGCCCTGAGCAAATGTTTGGAATACATGTATTAAGAAAAATGACAGTGAAATACAATTCAGTGTGTGTATGTAGTAAATAGTAAAATATTTATTCCGGATCACTCTTCTCAACTTAGAAAAGTCATTTATGAAATAGGGTTCTGCCTAAAAAGTGAAGCTGTGAAATTGTTATTGAATTTGTCTGTTTCTATAATATTTTTTCAAGTAATGTTTTATGCATCTGATATCCTCTACATATTTTGCTCTTTATATTTTTTTGTAACTTTTTTTTTGTAAAATTCTCATTGACCATCAACAAAGGAAAAAACTGAAAATTTCTGCCCCCAAATTTTCCAGTGCCTGTATTTGAAGACTGCAAGTGTTGAAGTAATCATTATCTTTTTATCACCAGTTTCGTCTTGCAATGCACTACTTGTCTGAAATGACAGAGGATCAGACACTGGCATTGTACTCAGGTCATCCGATGGGGTTATTTCCTAGTCATATTGATGCACCAAGGGTTGTCGTCACCAATGGCATGGTTTGTGATTCAGTGTCATTGCAGAAACCTACTTGGCAGTATTGCATCCATTAGCCCTTGCCACTTACTCACTTCAGTATAAGACCATAGCTTTGTGCAAGTTGCACAGAGTAGGCAAAGTTATAATTATCCTGCCATTTTTAAATCAAAAGCTTTTTAAAATGCACATGTCAAATTAATGTTGTGTGTTCTCAATTGTATGTGTAATTTTTGCATCAAAATTAGAGTAAGATCCGAACAAGAGACATCCTAAATACTTGCTGCAGCATGCTAGGTGGTCAAAAGTCTGAAGTACTCTGAATTTCCAACGGGATTCATTAACCATAACCTTCCCCAACCACACAGAATTAAACAGTAGTAAAGTGTTTAATTCTATGGGGATAGGTCTGGTAGGCCCGTAACAGCTGGCTTTTGCATTGGGTTTGGCATACCTCAGAAAAACAAAGTCCAACAACCTCCATGTACATAGTCCTATATGGGTGTTTAACTTTGTGTGAATGGAGAAGGTTAGGGCCAGCAACCCTTGGGGGTTAGGGTTAAGTATGATCAATTTTTCTCATTTAGATGGTGCCAAACTATTCTTCAAGAGAGAATTATGACCGACTGTTTGGCTTGGGTGTCACTATGTAAGTCTATTGATATTCTTCTAGCTGGTAATTATGTTCATATAATATGGATTGATGGATACAATAACAAATCCTGTATTTTATCCCTTCATACACCTTTGATTTTAGTTTCCTATTTATTGAAAATATAAATTACCATTGGAAAAGTAGCAAGCTTTTTTTGCCATCTTCTGATTTTCCTCTAGGTATGGCCAGATGACTGCTGGAAGCTTCTGTTATATTGGTCCACAAGGCATCGTCCATGGAACAACGGTAAGACAACTTGTGTTTTCAAAGTCCTTGCTATAATGTGATTAGCTGTGTCTTGAAATTGAAACTGTTGTCAGTAAGGGGCATGTAGCTACAATAAACATTGTTAACCCTAACACTCCTCAGTCCTCCAACAGGTGAAGGATTGAGGAGGGTTAGGGTTAATGTCTGATTTTCTTATGTAAATATTGATGCAGTGTTATTCATGTAGTTTTCCAGATTAATAGATATAGACACCCAAGCTGGAGACAATCTGAATTAGTGCTTGGGTTATGGACATTCTTTATACATTGATTGTACTGCAACATACAGATCACTGTGATGAATGCTGGTCGCCAGCAGCTGGGGACCAGTGATTTGAGAGGTCGGGTCTTTGTGTCGTCAGGTCTTGGGGGTATGAGTGGTGCTCAGGCCAAAGCAGCAGTCATCTGTGGCTGTATTGGGGTCATTGCGGAGGTCAGTAAGGAAGCCTTACTGAAAAGACACAAGCAAGGGTAGGACAGTTTCATTTCACTTCTGTTGGTGATTATCTGCCATATTCAGACAAAAGATTTAAAAGTCTCAGGAAAGTGAACTTTGCAGTCTCTATTAAGTCTCTGCATATTGGGTTTATTTACAAGCCAAAGGCCTACGTGTGTAATAAACGTAAAACAAACTTATGGTGCCATTATGGAAAGAATTTTTTGTATAAAATGTGCTCAGTATGAATAGTCTAGCATCTATAACTGGTCCCTTATTGCTGTGATTTCTTCTCTTTCATTTTTTAGGTGGGTGATGGAAGTAGTTGACAGTTTGGATGTTTGCATTGAGAGGATCAAGTAAGCTCATTTAGATGAACTAATATGTTGTGTAGCTCTGCAGGTGTTTTGAAGTCATCAAGATCTTTACTGTAATATTGTTTTTAGTTAGTAAGAGCTTGAACAAAGAAATTGACTAAAAAGCACTTGAGCCAGTCTTATATCCCTCAATTTCTTTGTTTGTTCTCATATTCATTGAAAACGGAACCTGTTTTCCCATCGTTGTAAATTTGACAGTGCACGAATTTGTATTGTAATATTTTATTCATTTTTAATTGTTTTTCTAATTACGGCTCTTTAATTTGCAGACGAGCAAAGAAAGAAAAAACACCTCTCAGTATTGGTTACCATGGAAACATTGTGGACATTTGGTAGGTGTTCAATTTTTAGATGTGTTTTCTTTTAAATAAATTCAAATTAGTGCATTCAAGTTTAGCCCTTGGAGACGTTTTGAAGGACAGAATGTTTTGTTGGGAAAGGTGTGTCAGTTGTCATTTGTTCACAAGAGGGATATCATTTCGAGTTTTTTATTTTTGTCCTATAAAGAGTAAAGTTTTACAATCTAAAATGGCCAGCATGGCTGGGCCTCCACATTGTTGATCCCAATGGATATTTTAAATCACAAAACTAATGCAAAATGTTTAAGATCCCATCAACCTTATATGATAAACCCCTATCAGATATAATGATCCATCCCAATGCATCAACTTGGATGATTCCATTTCGCTAACAGGGAGAGAATGGTTACAGAGTATGACAGCACAGGTGAGCTGTTAGTTGACCTAGGGTCAGACCAGACCTCTTGTCATAACCCCTTTAATGGTGGCTACTATCCCACTCAAGTGAGCTTTGATGAAGCTAATGACATCATGACGACAGACCCAGTCCGATTCAAGAACTTGGTCCAAGAAAGGTGGGTTGTTCAGTCAAACTTTGTGTCTAAATTCAAACCTTTTGATGGATTGGTTTTGTTGTTTACTCTTTTGTCATCTATTAATGATGTCTCCTGTGAATCCTTGTCTTATGCAGCTTGCGTCGTCAGATCGCTGCCATCAATAAACTTGCTGACCGCGGCATGTACTTCTTTGACTATGGCAATGCGTTCTTACTTGAAGCAAGTCGAGCAGGTTGGTTATAAAGTCTTTAATCATATATCTAGCGTTTGCATTTAAACAGACCAGAGTCACATGAAAACAATAGAAACTAAAAAATGGAACACAAAACTTAAAGATTTTATCCACTTTGTTACATGTTTAAGCATAACACATCTGTTTCCAAACACAGTGATTCTTAAAGCTTGGTGCCCATTAACGTGGTCCTTGTTTTCTGGGTTCGTATCCATCCACAGGTGCTGATGTAAAGAAGGAAGGGGACCAGACTGGTAATAGGTTCAGATATCCGTCCTATGTTCAAGACATCATGGGGTAAGATACTTTCCTCTGAATTTTTCCAGACCAAAACATTCTTGATGAGGTGTGTGTGCTTTGCGTGTGCCATTAAATATAGTTTCTATCATTTTTTTCATACTTTTTCATTTGTTGTTCCTTCAGTGACATATTCTCTCTTGGGTTTGGTCCCTTCCGATGGGTCTGCACATCCAGTGACCCCAATGATCTTGCCACCACTGATGAAATAGCAACAACAGTCTTGGAAGACTTCATCAGACAAGGAGGTAGGTGTCCAACATTTAATTCAATTTCAGTCAGCAACAATTTGCACCCAAGAAATAGATGAGTTGTTTTTAATTTGGAAGTAGGCTCCATAGATGGCTAGTTTCTGGGTAACCCCAAATTCCCCTGTGAACACAATTAACTTTTGAAAATAGAGGTCTTTATGATTCTAGAATGTCAAAATGATCTTTAATATAAAAGAAATTTTAATATTTTTAGAGATATATATATGCTTCAAATATTCCCTCCCCACACAGATGAACTTGCTACATGTAATCATGTTTCATCATTAATCGTGTCTATCGTTCATCCAAGAGGCCACCTCATGTAGGTGATATAAAAAGTAGACAGTATGCAAACCTAGCCTTAACCTAGCTCTCTACCAAGCCACTGACATGTAAATATTCAACTGCTTTAGAGGGTGTTGCAGAATAAATTTTTTTTGCCAAAAACTAATTGTTCTGAACTTTGTAATGTCTCTTAATTTAGTTCCAGAAACTACCAAACAACAGTACGAGGACAACATTCGTTGGATTAAGGAAGCCGCCAAACACAAACTAGTAAGTTGATACTAATGATGTGTCAATCGTACATTACTGATAATAGATTGGCAGTTATTAGAAGACAGAATAGTGATAGGTTTGTTTGTTCCAAGACATAGTGGGGCTTAGATGCTACATTTAGTCATCAGGTAATTGTCGTCTAAGACTGAGTATGACAGTGCTGAACTAAAATTTGGCTTTGAAATTGCTTGCAAAATTTCAGTGCAAAAAGACCAATGTTTTACACAGCAAGTAGCATTTTGCTAACCATATAAATTTTTTTGTGCTTGGTCCCTGGTAATCGGGAAAAAAGAATATTTTGGTTCAGGGATTGGGGCAATGTAAGAAATGTCATCATGGTATTTTTCTCTCTGCCCTGCTAACTTTAGGTTGTGGGTTCTCAAGCTCGAATCCTGTACTCCAATCAGCGTGGTCGTATGGCCATTGCATCGGCTTTCAATCAAGCTGTCAGTGAGGGTAAACTCCGTGGCCCAGTCATCATCAGTAGAGATCATCATGATGTCAGTGGTACTGATAGTCCATTCCGTGAGACCTCCAACATTTATGATGGCTCAGCTTTCTGTGCAGGTAAGTTTAGTTCTGTACCAGTCATTTTAGGCAATGAAGGTATAGCGTAGACGTCATGAGTGAGAGGGAGGCTTCTCCCACCTCCCCCCCCCAGGAAAAAGAAAAGAAAAAGAGGGATAAAAGAAAAGAAAAAGAGGGATAAAAGAAAAGAAAAAGTGAAAGGGCATAAATGGAGGAGAGGGGATGAGAACTACCACGTATCATGAAATACCCCAGATTTGAGCCTCTGCCAACTTTAATGGTTTTAATGTCGGGGGGCTAATTTCATAGTGCTGCTTCAGTGAAAAATTTGTGTGTAAGCGTGAAAGAACCTTGCTTGACAAATATGCCACCAGCCAAACTTCTGGTAATATATATTGTTTTGGAATGGTATTTACCTGTCTTTTGGTTAGCATGACAATCACATAGAGTTTGAGCTGGTAACCTTTGTTTATTAAGCAAAGTTTTTTCACGCTTAAGCAAATTCTGTGCCTAAGCAGCTCTATGAAATTGGCCCCAGTTTGCTGCTGAGGAATGCTTCCCCCCCCCCCCGGAAACTGGTGACGCCCATGTAGGACAATGCCAATATTAAGCATTGTATGTGAAATGCAATCTTGCATGTGATGGCTCAATGTCTAACAGTGTTTCTGTGTGTCATTTCATTTACTGACATTCATTGAGAACAAATCTTGAACTCTCTTTGTATCCTGAGCAACATAACACTTGAACACAATTTTCTCTATGTTGTCAGTATGTGCACATGCTAAGGTGCGTTCCATTCTTGAAAAGACTCTTAGGTTTGTCAAGGCCTCCTTTTTGAGAATACAGGAGGAAAATCACCAAGTGCCAAGTACATTCACTCAAGTCTTGCCCAGTGCAGCATGATGTGCCTGGAAGCCAGTTCATACATGAACACGTGTCCTTTCCATAGAGAGTCCTTAATTTGGGAATGTATCAAAAGGGAAGTTCATTTTCATCTTAGAGAACAGACTGAAATGTATGGGAATGAAAACTAAATTTGAACTACTGCAGATATGGCCGTACAGAATGTTATCGGTGATTCCTTCCGTGGGGCTACTTGGGTGGCCTTACATAACGGAGGCGGAGTAGGTTGGGGGGAAGTTATCAACGGAGGTTTTGGCTTGATGCTAGATGGGACGGAGAGAGCAGGAGAGAGAGCCAAAGCCATGCTAGCTTGGGATGTCACTAACGGGGTAGGTGTGGCCTTCCTGGCCAGTCTTGTATCATTTAGAATTTAGCATTGACGTGGTTCTAATCAATTAGAGTAATAATGTGCATCTATTAATAATAACAACAATTTAGCAACAACAACAATAAATTAGCATTTATCAAAGTGCTCAAATCCTTGACACTAGATTGAGTCACTGATTGTTAGTATCTCTGGTCATTTGGCCATTAAGCATTCCTAAGACATCTCGGCTCCTTGAGGAGTATGCTGCTCAAAGCTGCCATTTTAGCTACAAGTTGTTAGTATATTCTGTCTTCACTGGTACCCGTATATACTCCTGAGTGAGACAGACAAGTTGTTAGTATAATCTCTGTCTTCACTGGTACCCGTGTATACTCCTGAGACGGAAAAGTTGTTAGTATAATCCCTGTCTTCACTGGTACCCGTGTATACTCCTGAATGAGACAGACAAGTCGACTGAAGCTAGATTCAAAACCCAAAGCCGAAGATCAAGAGTTTAAACCCTAACCACTAAGCCACATGTTCCTAAATACAGATCTAGCTCTCACAGCATAATGCCATGTTATTATTGTTCCTCTTAAATGGACTCTCAAGCATCGCTGGAATATCTCAGTTCCTTAACCACTTGCCGCCGCGTGGTTTGAAAAATGCAGTGCACATAATCAGGACTTTTCCAAGATTTTCAGTTTTCAAAATTCTTCCAAAATTCATCATTTCATTTAATGGACATTTACACCCACACAAATTACTGTCTGGTGACCACTCTAGTCTGACAGACAAAATCTATTGATGCCCGAGGATTTCAGCCAGGCCTGCAGCCTTGTAAAAAGAGCCCAGATTGTGCGGTGTTATAACTTTCTTTTCTTCACAAACCTGGCACAGTGCGCTGCTGACCTCTTTTCAATAGAGGCCAGATTAGTGTGCAGCAGTGCTGTGCGGCTCATTGCTGCAGTGGTGGAGCGCTTTTGTCCCCGGTGGTAATCCGCTCACTCTAAATGCCTCAAACCATGGTATACTGTTTCAAAACAAGGCTGACTTATCTCCACTAGTAAGAGTGAAAAAATGTTGGTCATGCCCATCAGCCTGGTCTTTTGTTACAAGGCCCAGTTCCCTTTGTCCCATGTTGGGTTCCCCGGCTCCGTGTATAAAGCCTACATGCTCAAAAACAGGTCCCCTGGCAGCAAGTGGTTAAAGAGGGCATTATTTTGCTGGAATCATTCATTGTATGGGTCTGTTGATCGCATCTAAGTTCTGAGTCCGATTCGTTGGTCATTTGTATTGTCTAGGTTGCTCGACGAAGCTGGTCAGGAAATACGAAAGCCCAGGAGACCATTTGCCATGCCATGCAGTCCAATAGTAAGCTGAAAGTGACCCTACCACACAACGTCCAATCAGATGTCTTGGACAGAGCCTTTAGAAACTAACCCAGCTAGGTTTCCAGATCATGATCATGCCGCATGTTACTAGAAACTGGTCACATAAAATGTGACCATTTCGAAATATCCAGCATTGTGTTGAAATTGCTACATACATAATCCTCGTTATTTGCTTGTGTTGTATTTAATACCATTACAGATGTTTACTTTTATTGAATAAAAACTTTCCTGCCATCCATGCTTGCTCTACATTCCTGCAGTGAATTTGTTTGTCGAAGAGACACCTGCTTTCCCATGCCTCTTGTATAGTATGACCGTCCACATTTGATAACCATGTGAACCACACTGGCTTTTCCTACAATCATAGGCAAGATTGGACACCAACTATAGCTTTGACCACTGGTCTGTCGATAACCAGCAGTGCGATTAGCCCAGGGTTTGATTCGAAATGGTCATCTAGGTGGTCTAAACCAATATTCATGCAGCACTGATTGAACTATGAGTAACTGTGGTCATTTCTAAACCTTGCCTTACTTTTTGTCAGTAGTCGGATTACAGCCACATTTATGAACCGTTAAAAGTGAGATTTTAGTTACCATGCAAAACCTTGAACATAATGGTGAACCAAGGACGAGCAGTGTGACCATTGTAATTAAATGGATCTGTTAGAGCAGTGCACTAGCATTTCTGCAAAACTGTCAAGAGTGAGAAAGATGTAAAGTATTCTTAAGAAAATAAAGCCTACATGTACACTTCCATAAATTAATTTACAAGTACATTAATTCTTATTAATTCTAAGATGTAGCACAACGGTTCCGTGTATTTTCCTGGTTGTTGGTTTGAGCTGTGTAGTTAGAGAAAGCTGGTTTTTTTGGGTGATGGGTTCAATGAAAAATTTAACGTAGAAATGAGTCAATGTATGATGGGAACTTTGTAGAAAGACTTTAGTTTGAATATTTGAATGATTTTCAGGATTAGTTTGAACTTTTCAATCTATTAAAGTTGCTTGTAGTTGTAGTTTAATGCATGCCACTTATTGCTTTTGTTTATAGTTTCCAACTGAAACATTTGCGTTGCTATTTAACATTCACGGAGAAATCCAGCTACCCAGAACCAAGCATTTAAAAAAAATTTTGGTTGAAAATTTTGACATAGTGGATACATTGTATAACTTCAGTAGAAGATATTCAGGAATGTTAAAAACATCACTGGATTGAAATGTTTGTTTCTGCTGAATAAATTTTTCTTTCTAGTGGCTTAACTTAAAAACTCAAAGTTCTTTCATGGTAAATATAACTTTCTATTCCACGGTGATAAATTTCTGAAATTGATCATGCAGGATGTTTTCTAAGATTAATTATGGTGCAAAACAATTTTATGAGGTGATAAATGGAATGTTCCATTTTACAAGGTAGATTGAGTGACAACTCACTCAACATACATGCACCATTTTCTATGCTTATTCAAACAATATGGTACAGGATGCATCCTGTCAAGTAGAAGCTGGATTGTAATCAAACTTGTAACCGATGTTGCAATGTCTGTCACTTATTCAATTACAGAAAACAGAACCATGTCTCTGTAAGCTTATGCATGGGTTGCTGCTGGTTGTTGCATGGGTTGCTATGAAGGGTATGACATGCATTAAATGGTTGACTTCTTTATATTCACATCAATGGATCTTGTCTTCCTTTACAAGTGTGAAATTAATATTATTTGTCAAGCATAAACTGAAATGTTGTCATTACAACTCTTCTGTTACCCACCCAAACTTGATTAAAAATCTACACAATTCAGTGTTTCTGTGTAATAGTTCATAGTTTAATTCAAACATTGCCGTTAAAAGATTCAAACATTGCCGTTAAAAGATTCAAACATTGCCGTTAAGATACCTTACCCAACAAAGTGCTAAGAATGAAAGATATTTCAGAAATGTAGGTTCTAACATTCTGATTCTCAGTTCATAACCATCAAATTACATGATATACTCTACGAGAATTATAAGAAATAGTTTCCTTGATTAACTGGTCAGTACTACACTCAAAAAGAGAAAATAAGCTACATGTATTTGGAAAAAACTTTTCATTCAAGGACTCCAGAACTATCAAACATCAAACAAAAAAAAGCACACCACTTAATGCTGGCTAAAGTCAAACCCTTTTATCTTTAGGAGTGAATTTTTAAGGCAAAAGAATACATAGAATCAAAAATACACAGGAAGTATCTGCAGTCCACTGAACCTCAAGCTATTACGTGCAAATTGTAAATAACACAACAAAAATGAGTTTATACCTGTCACCACCATCAAAAAGGGATCAAAATGTACTTGGTTCCTAATTCAACATTTGTTTCTAATTTACCCTTGTTGCTTCTGCTAATCATGATGAGATTAGATCTTGTGCAAACAGATGTAATTGTAGAAAAATCACCTCAAAATATGAACAAGATTAAATGTTTTAAGATTTAAAGATTTATTTTTTCCCTACCAAATAAAGATAATGAGAAGGAACACTTGAAAAAACACCCAGATAATTGCATTGCTATTGCCAAAGTTTCACTTAAAAGACCTAAAGAACAAAATAAAGACATGGCATAAAACAAAATAAAACATCTGGTAGCAACCATTATTTCATTAGAATCTTTTTGCTGACAAGCTGGAGGCTGTTAAATTCATCTTGTTGAGAGTTTTTATTTCTAAGTTAGGAGAACCTTAACTGAATAATATGTGTTATCTATCTAACAATATAGAAATTTTATTCAAATCAGTAAACGATTAATTAAGAATTGCAAAATTTCACAAGCTATTAAGTCATACAGTTATAAATGGTTATAATTCAAGATGTTTAACACCAATGAAAGGATTTTGAATATACAAAGAATTCAGATAAGTCCCAAACAAAAAAAATTTTCAGTTTGAAGTACTTAAATAAATTTTAATCCTTAGACTGAAAAGTGTGATAAAAGTTTAGCATTACTATTTTTTTCACGATTCACCTTGATCACACTGGGAGCTTAAATCCCTCATGGAGCCTAACCAACCATTTTGAACTTTAAGTCACGCCCTTTCATTCTTCCATTACGAGCAAGTTTTGCAAGTGCACCATTTCAAAAGGTGTCTTTTCAACCAGCGGTTTGCACTCTTACAATTTGGCTTACAATGTTAATTCATTAACAAGCAATATGCAGGAAAATACCTAGGAAGCAAGGTGGAACTACCTACTAAAAAAGATAAAAATTGGTTTGTAAAGCTCCATAGTTCAATTGGCTGCTTTCTACTTATATGCAAAGTTCAAACCAAAGCGAAATTCACTTCCATAAATGAACAATCCAAGTAAAAATCAACACACTGAAAACATTCAACTCTACGTCTTCTTATTATCTGCTCATATCACTTATTAGCTGGCCGTTTTTACTTGCATGACAAACAAGCCTTATGCTACAGCTGAGTTTAAGCCTATACTGAATGATGTTAACACCAACCACTGAGTAAGAATTCCTACCTGGCCCACTGTAGCTTTTGACCATGTACACGGCTCTACCCAACCATTCTCTTAGAAGTCACTCTTTACTTCACTCGCTTACGCTTAGCAGAACGGCTATTTCCTAAAGCGCTACCTGTTGGTGATGGGACACTTGCTCCTTTCAGATGTTCTATATGGTAATTATCCATGTAAGGTTTGACTGCTTTCCACACCTAGAAAACAATCCACCAAAAACAAATACAAACAGTGCAATGGAAAGATGTCGATTTTTTGCCCAACACGTATCTGTACATTCTGTGTACTCACTGTTGTCTGAAGACTTGTCAGAGAAATGCCACAAGCTTCCTTAGATGGGACTTGAACACTAACCTCCTCCTCACAAGTGCAGATACCTTACCACTAAGTTTACTGGATTCAGCAAGCTGATAAGCAATGGGTACCATGCCAAACACGAATGTTTAGCGCAGTACTCAGTGCTCATCTGACTTCAACTAGCTCAATCCCGGTATGTTTCATGGAGCCTTGGACCCACCTTTTCTTCCCTCAGGAGCTTAGTTGCTCCTTCAATGTCGGGGGCCATGTAGCGATCCTTGTCCCAGGGTCTGTATTTAAACAGCGAAATGACAACCAGGAATAAGATCCAACTGATGTTACGAATTCATTGTTAATTATTCACCCCTTTAGTTGCGAATGGACGTGTCCTAACGTTTAGTGGCAGGATCTTGGGGTTTTCTTCTATAGGCATTATGTAACCTTTTATTTAGTATAGACGTGCCTGAGTGATGATCCAGGAATGTTTTCCTTATTGTTAGTAACTTTTTATAAGGGGGTTATTACTACGGAAAAGGTATGACAGCAGCATTTTATTTTGAACCTACGCTGGAGGTCGTAGGGTTTCGAGACCCAAGACGGGGAGCCATGCAGAATTACGGGGGCTAGGATTCCGTGCTAATGATAGCTGTATCTACCAGCAGTGTGTAATGTCGTCAGGCTGATGACTCTACGGGCCATGCTTTATGTGGCAGATTCGTTCGACTGGCTGCAGCATCTATGACCGGTTTCAACGGCTGTGATGCTGGTTTCATCAACTTTCCGAATTTTTGGCAGACCCGAAACTCATCTCATATGAGACTCTTATGAATTGAACTTTCGTTTTGCATCGGTAGGCCGACTTCTTCCACTCTTTTGGACCCGATGCTGCTGGTCAGATATCCCAGGACCTTCGTGTACCGCTGCTGGTCAGGCAGGATGCCATGTCATTATGACTGTATTAAGTTGATTTTGATGTGAAAATGAACGTAATCTGTGTATTCTATTGTTTTGCTGGCATTTTGATGTTGTGTGATTGTGAATAGTCAGAATTTCTAGATTTGCAATTTTGAAATCTTGTTTTTGTGTCTGATTTATTTTGTCTGATCGTCAATATGCAACACTGATAAATGGTATAACCTTGGTTGTAAACACAGGAAAACGCCAACCTGTATATTCAATTTGAAAAGGTATAACCCTGGGGGTACTAACACAGGGAAATGATAACCAGGTTATTAGATCTTCAGTATTGAAGTCAAGTCTATCACAAGTCAATCATAAGTCCTGTTACAAGTTAATGACATGAAAAGACTGCTATTCTCACAGATCAATGGATATACACCTCCTAAGTTGACTTATGACTGGATGACCAGTGGATGCGACTCCAATGCTAAAAGCTGAATACCTCACCTGGCTCTCGTCGCAATATTTCCTCTGTAGAATCTATGCTAAACTTGACATGAATCTCCAATATTCCTCCACAAAACCACAGCAGAAATATTAATAAGTCAGGAAAATATGACAGACTTACTCCACGACAGAGCGAACAAGTTTGTGGACTTCCTCCAGTGGAGCTGTAGTTTTCAGAGGACGAAGGAACTCAATACCTTGGCATGCTGCTAATAATTCAATGGCCAAAACTGTGAAAAAAGAATTATCTTAATTCACTTCAAACTGAAGTATGTCCCATAAATTTTACCTGATAATGATATGAAACTCTTCAACACTTGTGAACATCAAATCAGCATTACTGGACAACCCTGAAAACTCTTACTTCAGACTTCTTTTAAAATGAGAGATTTGATCAATTCAAAAGTGAAACATGTTCCCCCAATACCAAAAAAGAATGTCTCCACATCAAGGCAATTAAAATAGTTCACATAGCTTACCTTGTTCCACATGCTCAACAACAGTCAGGCATTTTCTGGCAGAGAATCCTCCCATGCTAACATGATCTTCCTGGTTTGCACTGGTCGGCAGTGAGTCAACAGACGCTGGATGAGTCAGAACCTTGTTTTCAGACACTATTTAGGGAAAAAAAATAAAATAGACAAACAGAGCTATCAGAAAGATGGTCAAAGCAGCATATTAATGGTAATGATATCAAAATAACCCCATTTATGCACTGAAAAACAAACCAGAACAAAATGAACAACTTTGTTTTTGAATATGCAATCATTTATGGCCGAGTCGGTGAATTAGGGCTGAACTTAAACCACTCAACATTTTCACCATCCAGCAAAGTGGGATAATACAATCAATGGTTAAGAATCCTTTAGGAAAAGTCTCACCAAATCGCCTTTCTTACCCAGAGCAGCTGCCGTGCAGTGAGCAATCATAAAGCCATTATTGTTACCACCGTCACTCACCAGAAATGCTGGCAGTTCACTCAGCGCTAAGTCCAAAGGAAACAGAAGTCAACAAAAGGAAGTTAGAATTGTCAATCAACCCTCTGCAGAACTTTTCTACAATGAATGGAACAATTAAGTCCTTCCTTTGAAGGTAAGACTTGATAAGTTGAATTCATTGTTTTGTAACAGGTTAGGAAATACAAGACGGAGCATCTTCCTGGATGGGGTTTGTCATGTACATGAACCTGTATTTTTCATCAAAGAATCCTTGAGGCAGAGAACCACTCTTATATGCTACTGGTTCCAGTCTAGTTTGTCCTGCAGTTTGGTGCCTGTCCTCCATTGTTGACATTCAGTCTCCAAAATGTAAGCAAAAACCTGCAAAGAAATTATTTCCTGAAAAAATACCAGCATTAAGCTGGAATTCTGGAATGATAAAATGTCAATCCTTATGAATTAGGATGTACATGAAAACTGTTAAGATACATCTAACAAGATGTGAACTCTTCCCATGATGCACTACAGGTGAAGGAAGATTCCACTTGTGGTAGCTTTTCTGTATTGAAAAATCATTTTTATTAAAAAAAATAGTTAAATGGGTTGGTTTAATGGACTGTGAGGTGACTTGTGTTACAACTTTCAGTGCCTTTAACCTCTGACCTCTGGTTTACAACCTGCAAATAACCTTCATGGGTAATATGACCTGTGACCTACATACATGGATTAACAAGTCGTTCAATTCGGCGTTCACTGATGCATGCCAGTTCACTGATGCCGATGGCCAGATAGTCCAGCACCTGTGATGATAATAATAAGAGCGCTCTTACACAAGGTATCACCACACTTAACAAAAAATCTAAAGACTCCATGATTCATCATGAACCAAAATATCTTTACAGATTTTTTGAAACTGTCATGTGGTATTGATGAGTGGATATTCTTGGAAAGGTTGTTCAAAAGTTTCCATAGGCATGGCCCCCCTGCGTAGAATCCTGGTTTGCTAAACAAAGTGTGTACCCATCCCTTACAACAAGAAGCACTGAAGAATCAAAAAAGAACTGTAGACCTGGACATCTAGGTTGGTACTCATCAATGAGATTAGTGAGATATAATGAAGTGGTGTTTATGGAAGCATTGATAATCTAAAGAGGGAATCTTGCATAAATTCCATGGTGGACCGGGAGACAATAAACCCGATGAATAAGCGGAGTAACGTGGTGAAAATAGACAAATCAAAATCATTCAGATGGTACTTATAACTTTGTGTTATCAATGTAAAACATGAAAACTTGGCTAACCTTCCCTTCATGTGCAGTGATGTACATGTATGCCTCAGGAATTTTAAGAAAAAGAAAAAACAATGCATTCATACAAACCTTGGCAGGGTATTCCCCATGAAAGTTTCCACCAGAAATTGTCTCTTGACGCTCAGCAAATACCATCTAGTCAACAGAGGAAGTTGAGGAACATCAGAATGATATCATTCATCTTTAAGGAAAATCATTTTCGAGAAAAACCCTGAACTGTTGATAACGGTATCCCACATGCTCTTCATCTCAACAGAGACCAACAATAGCATTTCTCCTCTATTCAGCTTATTTGCTGTGATTTGGATAGCATCCAAAATGAGATTTTACTCTATGACCTATGTCAGAGCATCTTCTTCTTAATGTGTGACAGTATTCTGCCAGTCTTCTAGTGCACATTTGACCTGTTGGGTCATTATTTGAACCAGAGGATAAAGTATCTATAGAAAATTTCTCAACACAATGTGCACATTTGAAATTCAAATCATTTAAGAATCTTAAGTTCTCAAAAAGATGCCTATTTCAATGAAGTAGCTAGAGCGAAAACCCATAATCAGTGTTTTCCAGTAGAAACACAAAAGAATCAGACGTAGTTACTGGGAACAAAGAAATGCGACACATCGAGACTAAGATGAGAATAATTTATTGGTAATTACAATACTCAAGTATTTTGTAAGGATACTGGATTGTCAGTCGCACTGTTCAGCTCAGTCGTCAAGATGCCTCTAACAAACTCAATGGTGTCGTTGACAATACCATGAACCTGAGATAAATGATTAGGGAAAAAATATATTTACTGTAACTAACATCAGAACAGTTGAAAAAAAATTGAATTTTATCACACTTACTTAAGTAAGTCTTGAACATTTTCTTTTGGGTATTTTTATAAATATACTTGAACTAATCTGAGTCATGGTTTGTACAAATTTGTAGATTTGAAAAAACAGAACTGTCTACTGAAAATTTAACAGCTGTACACTAAAACATGAAAACTTCTTCAGGTATTTAGACATTTTGGTAAAGCTTCCATGGACCATGTCATGATTTCTTAAAGGAGAGAAGAAGTGAAAAAAATTAAGGTAGGAACTGAAAATCTGTTTACTTAACATAAAGCTAAAGCATTCCCTTGAATTATTGTCACATATACAAAAATCAAACTTGTGAAGGCAGGTTTGCAGACCAAGCTAGGAATTTTTTTGTGTGTGATGATATTGTGACAAAGTGGCTTTAAGAAGTTTAGATTTCAGTTAAAAGATGACATCATTCTTTTTCATGTATAGGAGCAGAGAATGCGTGAGTTCACGTGTACATTAGCATTAATCTGTGCGTAATTTCCCAGGTAAATGTTTAACGCAGTGCGGGACGGACGCAAGTTTATGTTTTGTCTAGTTTGTGCCACGCTGCACATGGTATAGGCAGTCTCAGCTCGCACAAGTCTCAAGGTAGTCAGGAGGCCTGGTTTGGTGAGTGAACATCGCTATGGGTGACTGCTCCTTTTGTGTGTGCTACTTCGGAGAGTCGGCTAGCAATTTAGTACTGCTTCCGCATAAGCAGTTAGCTAGTAACCGTAACGTATCCGCATTAGTTGACTATTGTGTACTGTTCTTTGTATCGTTCAGAAAGGACCATGGGAAGAGCAATAATGTGTGGGTAGAGTTGTTGAGGGTTGTCTGAAGGTCTCTGTTTAGGAAAGCGGTGAAACCTGGATAGTCAGCAGACGCCCTGAGTTACCCGTTAATTTGGGTTAATTAATTAGCACCAGCAATCCGCCAATATCTTGGGTGCAGTCACCCGAGTGAGGATTGCGGAGTGCAAATTGCGGATACGGGTAAGAGGTTGCGGAGTGCGAATTGTGGAGTATGGATTATTGGCGGCACTTTGTGGAGTGCAGAGTGCGGATTATTTAAGTGTTCTTTTGTAATTGTATTTTGTGTTATTATTCTTTTGTAACTCTTGTATAAAATAAATAATTCCAATTGTGTAAATATAGTGATTATATAAACTAAAGAAAAGTAAGTCCAATTGATCTTGCTGGTAATATCTTGTTTACCCACATGCTCGTTGTTGTGTCAGTCGACCGAGTCACCGAATCAATTACCTATCGGTGGTATATTTCTGCCAAAGTGACCCCTAACCCCTGGACCTTAGATTGCTCGTCGAACTCAAGGTCCGCAAGGCAGATAGTTTAGGTTTAGGTCAGGTGACTTTCCCCACAGTTGGAAACAGTTCGCCCAGATTGGCGAGACCTAGGCTGGCTCGTGGGAATAAAATGCCACAATATTCATGCATTTGCACTATATCTTATCTTTGTATTCAAATGATGTATTTAGGGCCACTGGCAACATGCTTTTTTGTTATACAGAACTGAGGCACATGTATGTCTTAGCACAAGGAATAATCAATCTCTATACCTGTGGGCAGCAACGCAGAGTATAAGCATCTTGCACACGGTCACAGAATCGATGGCTCTCGGAAATTTCGGAGGGGTGGACATCTGAAGCCAGGAGTGAACGTAGGTTGCTGGCCACTAGCATTTGTCCCTTGTGGGGTCTGGCTGCATGGATGTCTGGGTGTAACAAAATACACAAAAAATGAGTTTGGTAATTCAAAATGCTAACTAGTGACAGACAAAAAAATGAAGCTTTGTTCAGCACTCGCTGAGGATATTATTTTGGGGCTGAAATTATTAGGAATATTGACTTTTAGAAAAAAAAGATGTATTGGACAACTAATCAAATATGAAGCTAAACGTCACAGATACTGATCGGCAAGAGTCATTTGAACAGTTTTGTGCAATATTTCTTACCAACACGTCAGTTTTGCAACACTAAAGCAGCATGTTTATTGGTCAGCTGGAGGGGAGTTGAGGCAGCTAGACATTTCTACTTGTCAGATGTGCCCGTGTATGTTTACACAGCCTCTGACAGAAAGTGGTAAAACTGCTGCTGAGTTTAAGTCTTAGTATAAACATAGTTCATGCATATTGAATCTCTAAACAATCTTAAGTCTTAAATAAGGGCTTTTCACCCTATCTCCATTTCAAACCATGTTCAAACCTACCTGGGGCCACACCGGTTCAATTCCAAAAATTTTCGACACGGGTTGGAGAGATGCAACGTTCACACTACATTTGCGTGAACCGGCTCTTGCGTGAACCGTGTAATGACCGATCCGGATATCGGGCAAGTGTATTTACACTGTTGTATTCTCAACCCGGAGAGGCCCAGCGGTACACAGCGTTGGCTCTTCCAATAATGCATTGCGACGCGCTAGTTTACCATTTCCAACATGGCTGCGCCCGAGTTTTACTACACGCTGTTCTTGCATGTCTTGCTGTGCATGTTTCTGTTCATTCTGAGGAGGAAAAGAGCCCAAATTGTGCGAGCCCGTACAGCAAAGAGGATGATCAACAATCGGTGATGTTTTTGTTTATTGACCTTTAACACGTCATTAAAAAATCGTTACGTTATGGGCGCATCAACACGGATCAGCCGCGTGACTCGGGGCCGTTCACACTACCATTTTCTACACGGGTCACGTCCAAAAATACAGTTTCAACCCTGGTTGCTACCAGGGTTGGTTTCGATCCGGCTAGAGTGCCTTACGCGGTTCGGCTAGGGGTTGAAGCTTTTCAAGTGTGAAAAGGATCAAAAAATCTCGGGGTTTGATCTGGTTCCAACCCCGAGATTTCGGACAGTGTGAAAAGCCCTATAGATAGAAATTGCCCTAATTATAGTGATCCTGCTTGACAATTTATTTCATATATAAAAAGGCAGCTCACTAGTCCAAGGCTATTTATCGGGACCAGGTGTCTGCAACTATAAAAATGGACTTACGACTTTCAAAAGCAGAGTTTGTCCCTTTCAGGACATCCAACGACAGGGCAGCAATGACATCAGCCTGACGTGCAATAGCTGCTGCTCGCTCAACGGCTGAAAGAAAGGAACAATCATTCTTAGCATGCTTGATTTCACTTCATTATCAAATGTTGATGAAATAAATTACATGTAAAAGAACTGAAGAAGCAACCTGTAAAGCGGATTTCAACAATTTCCTTAAAGAAACAAACTGATACCGCGACTACAATAAAAAACCATTACTGAGATAGAGCTAGGTTCCTGTGCTGGTCAAACATTGTTGCCTTTAATTAATAGGTCTCTAACTTAATAACACATGCAACTAGCAAGGTTTTGCTTCTAAAAGGCTTCCACTTTGGATTCTGTGTTCAAATAACTCTATAAATAGTGACAAGATGAACATGCAGGACAGATGTTTAATCAGCACTGAATTACCTTCAGCTCCAAGTGCGGTGATCATCTGTGTGCCATTAATTAATGCAATACCCTGTTCAGGAAAATCAAAATATTTAGTTATTCAACCAAAGATTAGTCAGATTAAAGTTAAGCATTTTTGGCTGTGCTTTACAGAAAATATGTTAAAGTTTGTACTTAATTTCAGCCGATCCCACTTCACTAGCTGTGGCAACTAGAGTCTGGTAGATACATGTAAGCACAAAATATAAGCAGCAATAGCAACAATTATAACACACCTCTTCCAGGTTCTATATCCTGGTTGGCTGAAATATCATCATGTATGGTTCGCTAATATGAGCTAGTACATGAATTTGGCATTAGCGTGACTCAACACGCGCCTGGACACTGCACGGGTGCATCAATTCTAGAGGCTAGTGCCCGGTAAGGTACTAGTCTTGAAAAGTTTTGACAAGTTATTGCTCCCTCTGGAGGTTGAGGTGAATTGGTATTGGGTGAAAAGTTGAATTGAAAAAGTTAAAACCCTTGAAGAATTCTTTTCCCTGTTGAATGTAGTAACTCAGAATTAGACTACGTCAAGGGGTATTAAAATAAACCATCAAGTTTTACGCAATTTTTGAAGTGCTATTGAAAGTAGAATTTAAATCCCGAAAGAATTCTTTTCCTTGTTGAGTATAGCAACTCAAAATTAGACTGCGTCGAGGGAAACTAAAATAAACCTTCAATTTTTTTGGCAATTTTTGAAGTGCTATTGAAAGTAGAATTTAAATCCCGAAAGAATTCTTTTCCTTGTTGAGTATAGCAACTCAAAATTAGACTGCGTCGAGGGAAACTAAAATAAACCTTCAATTTTTTTGGCAATTTTTGAAGTGCTATTGAAAGTTGAATTAAAACAGTTAAAACCCTGAAAGAATATCTTTCTAGTTTGAGGTTTTAATTGTTATAACAATTAAAACACATATGAACTGACCTAATTCGGTCACTAGTGCACATCCATGCTCCCTCAAGAGGGAAGTAGGACCCTCTTCTGGTCACTCACAGTCCCCTCGGGGACATAGACGGGCACTAGTGAAGTCATTGCCAGTCCATATATGTATAAAAAACCTTGGGAATTCTTACCTCCTTTGGACCAAGGATAACCGGCTCCACCCCATGCAACTTCAGAATCTACCAGGAAGAAGAAAAAAACACGGAATTGTTTGTTCTGAAATTAAATTACATGGAAGGGAAGGCACTGACTAACAAACAAGTTTAATCCCATGAAAATAGTTCCCTTGGTCTTGGCAAGTTATTTAAGTAAGGATTAATGCCTTCAGATGTACAAAAACAACATAAATTACTGGTTGATTGGATAAGTTCTACGCCCAAAGGAAAATAAAACCAGACGAACATAAGGTCAAAGTTTCTAGAGGATCTCACCGTTTTAGCATCACCCCATCCTGTACGAGGACTCCACATCTTGCCTTCTCCCATCATCCCCAGGGCAAGATGACTCAAGGGAGCCAAATCACCACTTGCGCCAACAGTACCCTTCTCTGGAACTAAGGGCAAGCAGGACGCTGAAGAAGAAGAAAAAGATATGCCTTGACAAGTAGCAGAACTAAGTCTTGGGAGGGGAACCAGTAGTTATTTGGGGGCCTGAGTTTTGATTCGTTTTTGGTATCAAGAGAACTTCATATCCTTTACAATTTACATAATATCACTAATATTATATTCCATAAACAACTAAATTAATGTTAACTGCATTAACAATAGTGAGATTTGATAATAGTTTCATAGAAAAGACTACATGAGTTTATATTAAAATTTAAGGGTACCTGACTCTTCTGCAAGGAAAAACAGGCTAATCAAGCAGCTTTAACAGAACTTTAAACATGATGATTGTGGCTGCAAAGAAACATGTCAGTATCTGAATCGAACAAATTATAACGTGGGTGTGAGTAAATACTGAACAGAGAGAAAATATAGACCAAATCTTACAATTGAAGGCATCAATCATGCTTCTAAGGTTCTTAGGAGATAGTCCACTGTGCCCCTTTGCAATCACATTGATGCGTAAGGCCAGCAAGCGTCGGGTACGTTCAGGGGTGAGTGGTTCACCCACCCCAGCGGCATGAGAGCGGATCAGGTTCTCCTGCAACTCACTATCAGAAAACAGAAATACTGAATGTTGAGCACCCATTTCCCACACTACGTCTCTCAGTTTACCTCCTGCTTATGTAATTTTTGCCATGCACTATATGCCAAGTGTTTTCTAAGACTTGTTGAACAAATTCAAAAGCTTCCTTGGGTTATATCTGAATCTACAATATTCCCCTTTATAATGTTAACTTATTATAAACATTTGAAACCCTTAAAAGGGGATGGTACCTGGCGATGGGGGGGGGTCAGAATGAAATCATAGAATGGAGTCTGGTTCTTTAAATTCAACATTTTCAAATGAATGAACACTACATTGGGGAATCTGAATGAAATTGGGTCTCCAACGAAAACGGTCTATTGTTTGGCCACAAGTGCTTCATCATCCTACAGTTTCCTTCTCATTAAATGAACATGTCCATCCTGTATGAACTGGCTCTAACACATGCCGATGTTTCAGGTTCAACTGGACCATATCGCAATTAAATAAACCACTTGCCCTGAACATATCTTTCAGAGAAAAGAGATCATTACCTCATTATACCATACTTTGCCTCCTTAATGAGTTATGATTATCCTAATATGGACTGATCACAAGTCTTTAATTGCTGAAGGACAGAAATCATTTTGGAAGGGGGGGTGTGGTGTTCAAAGTAGCAGGGCGAGATGGTGAGTTCACTTTGCTTTCATCCTTGATTAGTATCAGATTTAGTCTTAAAATG